CATACCATTACAGGCTATGCTAGTGTGATGCACAACAATTGTATTGTTTCTATCTATCTATCTATCTATCTATTTGTCCGTCCATCCGTCCTTCCGTCTCTCTGTCTCTCTCTAAGGTCATGCCTCTGTCCTCCACCCAGCCCACATTCAAACAATATGTCACCTGCAACACCAGAGACAATAAAACACTGGACTTATTTTATGCCAACAGCAAGGAGGCATACAACTCATCCCCCCTCCCTCCCTGGGAAGATCTGATCACAACCTGGTGCATGTCTTGCCTGTTTATAAGCCCCATGTTAACAGGCAACCAGTGGAAACCCGCACATTTAAGACATGGACTGAGGAGTCTGAAGAGGCAGATCGCTGTCTCACCTGGAGAAGCCTGGAAGCACTGTGAGGATCATGTTCTTTTATTTCTCCAGTGTTTTAACACCATTCAGCCTGCACTTTTGGGGGACAAGCTGGAGCTCGCAGGGCTGAACCAACACCTCACAGCCTGGATCTCCGACTACCTCACCAACGGGCCACAGTATGTGAGGACTCAGGACTACATGTAGGACACAATAATCTGCAGTACAGGGGCCCCACAGGGAACAGTCCTGGCCCCTTTCCTGTTCACCCTGTAAACTGCAGACTTCTACCACCAGTCACCTCACTGCCATCTACAAAAGTTCTCTGACGACTCTGCTATTGTCATTCTCATCAGGGACGGAAAGCTCATTAAGGACTTTGTGGACTGGTGCCAGCTGAACCACCTCCAGCTCAATGCCGGGAAGACCAAAGAGCTGGTGGTGGATTTCCGCAGGCACAAACAAACCTGCTCACAGGTGATCATCCAGGGAACGGATATTGAGATGGTGACATCTTACAAGTACCTGGGTGTTCACAGGAACAATAAACTGGACTGGACTGATCACACTGCAGCAACATATAAAAAAGGTCAGAGCAGACTGCATCTGCTGAGGAAGCTCAGGTCCTTTGGCGTGCAGGGTGCACTCCTGACTTCTTTCTATGACTCTGTGGTAGCATCAGCCATTTTCTATGGTGTAGTCTGCTGGAACAGCAGCATCTCGGCAGCAGAGAGGAGGAGACTTGATAAACTCATCAAGAAGGCCAGCTGCCCTCTTGACTCAGTGCAGGTGGTGGGAGAGAGCAGGATGATACACCCCAAGTGTGTGAAGGAGAGGTATCGAAGGTCCTTCCTTCCTGCTGCTGTCGGACTTTACAATCACTGCTCCCAGTAGCATACATCTGCATACAATTTTTATAAATACCCATATTTATTATCACTAGTAAATACACTGCCACACTGTCTTTTTGCAAATGCATTGCACACTGAATACGTTCATATGTATATAGCAGTATATTCTTTCTATTCTATTTTCTTACCTTTAAATCATCTTGTTTATTTTTCACTATTGTTATTATTTAAAAAAAAACTACTGTCCTGTTGCTGGTGTGACAAAGAAATTTCCCCTTTTGTGGGACAATAAAGGTATTCTGATTCTGATTCTGATTCTGAGGTCAAAATAGGTGTGTTGGAGCTATTTGTTTATTGTTAGTATTTAGTGTTGTTTAGTTTAGCATTTAGTTTAGTTAGTATTTAGATTTGATTATTCTGAAGAAATTAATTTGATTTCGTTATGATTAGATTTTTGTTAGTATTCTGTTCTATTATTTGTTTAGATTAGGTGTTTTTTGGTGTTTATTATTTGTGTTTTGTTTCATTTGGGCACGTTAGGGGGCACGTTAGATTATATCTAAGATCATGGTAACGGACCAGAATGCACTGGGGTGGGCATATGGTTTTTTTACCGCAGCGGGAGAGGCACGAAGGAATTTTCTTTGTTATTGTTTGTTCGCTTTTCTGGTCAAATAAACCACAGTTTTCTGTTGAAATTGGATACTTGTTTGGACATTTTTTTCCCCCATCCGCGTACACCACAACCCATGGTGCAACAGTGGCCCTTTGATTTTTTTGTAATTTAAAGGTTTGATTTGAAACTTTTATTTGTTTTGACAAATGGCTACTACAAGGTGAGTGCAAAGGCTTCAGTTGATCCAAAATGTTGCATCATGAGAACGTACAGGTACAAGAAAAAGAAATCATATTACTTGTGTAAGATTATCTGCATTTTCTACCTGTTACATCCATAATATTAGTAATATAAGGCCATAGTACCTCATTATCCTAATTGGCCATTTTGTTCTCAAAATGCAGACTAACTTGTCTCAGTCTCGAGTAGAATGGGAGGTTCTTCATTTGGAATTATTTTATTTTGAAAATGATGACCCGGAAGTAGCTAGCCTGTAGTATTGGATAGAAGCTTCCCACCCATTCACAGTCGTCTGTCACGGAACAAGACTCCTTTATACCGAGCAGCATTTAGACTGGAAAAGACAGCAGTTCTGTCCATGCTGCAGGGTGGTGCGGCTCTCGGCAGCGGTTAACTGCCAGGAGATGTTCAGAACGTCGCGTTTCACCAACAGAGCTCGGCAAGGCTTTAAAACTGATTTGTGAGTAGCATCTCTGTGGTGCTCCTGTTCATCGACGCTAGGTGAGAATGGATGTGGGTTAAAGCCACTTCAGCCATGTCTTAATTATTTGATTCAGATTAGCTGCCATTGTTTATCTTTGTTATCCAGGCATGATTCTCCAGATTTTACTTTCGTTGTGATGTTGATAAAGGGGTGTCCTGACTTCACTTTGACCATATGGGGGATCATAGAAAGCTGATATGACGTTTACAAAGAGGCATAGCTATTTTTACGGCCCAACTAAGCTCGGTCTGTTGCTAGTTAGCTAGATCAGCCGAATTCAGTTCTGTTAACATAACGTTACATTATAGGTGAGTCGCTGAGTTAATATTGAATATGAGAATGGTTTCTCAAACAAAACTTCAATATTGACCGAGTCCACGTGGTTTTATGGGTATTTGCTGTGACATGTGTTATTTCTAACCCCCTGCTGTCATATCTCCATGTATTTTGTCTTGAGGTGAAGGGCTTGTTAGCATAATATG